CTTTCAGGAGCCCTTGCAGCAGCCTCGGAGTCTAAGCAGGCCCATCCCAGCTCCTTGCAGAAGCACAAGATTCCCCAAGGGCTGTCGGCCTTTATCTGAGGGCTTCAGAGCAGCCCTTTTGTTTCAATGACTACTTTCCATGGAGACCAAATCTGACACAGGCTGGTTCCCTGAGACTGGAGTAAGTCTCTGTTCCACCAACATCATTCACTCATGGTGGGCTCCAAATTTTACTTAGATGGTACCTGATTACCCACAGGCTGCCCAGGTCATGCAGAGCTGGGTGGGATAGGATTAGGGGGTGACATCTCTCCAGAGACAAACACAGGCAGTGGATCCTTCCCAGGAGCTGGGAGCTGGGAGCTGGGCAGTGGGTCAGGACCTGAGTGTTTTAAGATTCCTTACCTCACCCATTAACATACTCTCAGGGAACAGTATTACAACCAGGATGACCACAGAAGTATCACCTAAGCTGGGAGCCATTAATAATTATGCTGGGAGGGGTGCCTGGGTGGCTCAGTGGGTTAAAGCCTCTGCCTTCAGCTCGGGTCATGATTCCAGGGTCCTGGGATGGAGCTCAGCAGGGAGCCTGCTCCCCACCCGACCCCCGTCTGCCTCTCTGCCTACTTGTGATCTCTGTCTGTCAAATAAATAAATAAAATCTTTAAAAAGAAATAATTATGCTGGGAAACAATACAAACCGGGAGAGTCCTGGGCATGATGATCAATCATCTATACCCAGGGAGGAAACAAACCAAAAAGGAGGAGAATCCAGTCATTATCATTTCTTGCTCTCTGGCATAGGATTACAAAACAAAAGCACAAACCTCTCCTGATCAGAGAATGCATGCTGTCAATTTCCAGTGGGACACTGAAACCAGCAAGCCATAAAACCAGGTGTCCTTTGCCTCCCCTGAGGTATTCCCACTCATGTAGTCTGCTCCCTTTGGTCAGTACTCAAATCAGAATAAAGTATAGCTCACGGTCCTAGTTACATGGGGATGGCCAGAACCTCAGGGTGGGAACACAGATTTTTCAGTTCATTATTAAGAAGCCACTCCCAGGAGGGGCAGCAGTGGGAAGTATTTCCTCAAACGTGATGCCTTATTAAGACTACATGTGGTGTATGGAACTAGAAAAGACCCCAAATAGCCAGAGGAATGTTGAAAAAGAAAAGCAAAGCTGGCAGCATCACAATTCTGGACTTTAAGCTCTATTACAAACCTGTAATCATCAAGACAGCATGGTACTGGCACAAAAACAGACACATAGATCCATGGAACAGAGCAGAGAGCCCAGAAGTAGACCCTCAACTCTGTGGTCAACTAATCTTCGAGAAAGCAGGAAAAATTGTCCAGTGGAAAAAAGGCAGTCTCTTCAACAAATGGTGTTGTGAAAATTGGACAGCCACATGCGGAAGAATGAAACTGGACCATTTCCTTACACCACACACAAAACTAGCCTCAAAATGGATGAAAGACCTCAACGTGAGACAGGAATCCATCAAAATCCTTGAGGAGAACACAGACAGCAACCTCTTTGACCTCAGCCGCAGCAACTTCTTCCTAGACACATCGCCAAAGGCAAGGGAAGCAAGGGCAAAAATGAACTCTTGGGACTTCATCAAGATAAAAAGCTTTGGTACAGCAAAGGAAACAGTCAACAAAACCAGAAGACAACTGACAAAATGGGAGAAGATATTTACAAATGACATATCAGATAAAGGGCTAGTATCCAAAATCTATAAAGAACTTATCAAACTCAACACCCAAAGAATAAATAATCCAATCAAGAAATGGGCAGAAGACATGAATAGACATTTCTGCAAAGAAGACATCCAGATGGCCAACAGACACATGAAAAAGTGCTCCACATCACTTGGCATCAGGAAAATACAAATCAAAACCACAATGAGATACCACCTCACACCAGTCAGAATGGCTAAAATTAACAAGTCAGGAAACGACAGATGTCAGTGAGAATGCAAAAGGGGAAGCCTCCTACACTGTTGGTGGAAATGCCAGCTGGTGTAGCCACTCTGGAAGATAGCATGGAGGTTCCTCAAAAAGTTGAAAACAGAGCTACCCTATGACCCAGCAATCACACTACTGGATACTTACCCCAAAGATATAAATGTAGTGATCTAAAAGGGGATGTGCACCCCAATGTTTATAATGTTTATAGCAGCAAGAGCCTAACTATGGAAAGAGCCTAGATGAGATGTCCATCGGCGGATGAGTGGATTAAAGATGTGGTACACAGGGGCGCCTGGGTGGCTCAGTGGGTTAAAGCCTCTGCCTTCGGCTCGGGTCATGATCCCAGGGTCCTGGGATCGAGCCCCGCATCAGGCTCTCTGCTCAGCGGGGAGCTTGCTTTCTCCTCTCTCTCTGCCTCTCCACCTACTTGTGATTTCTGTCTGTCAAATAAATAAATAAAATCTTTAAAAAAAAAAAAAAGATGTGGTACACACACACACACACACACACACACACACACACAGGAATACTATGCAGCCATCAAAAATGAAGTCTTCCCATTTGCAACAACATGAATGGAACTAGAGGGTATTATGTTAAGCGAAAGTAGTCACTCAAAGAAAGACAATTATCATACAATCTCGTTGATATGTGGAATTTGAGAAACAAGGCAGTGGATCATGGGGGAAGAGAGGAAAAAATGAAATGGGATGAAACCAGAGAGGGAGATAAACCATAAGAGACTCTTAATATCAGAAAATAAACTGAGGGTTGCTGGGGGGTGGGATGGGAGGGATGGGGTGGCTAAGTGACGGAAGCTGGGGGAGGGTGTATGCTACGGTGAGTGCTGTGAATTGTGTAAGACTGATGAATCACAGACCTGTACCCCTAAAACAAATAATACACTAAATTAATGGAAAATAAAAAATAAAAATAAAAAAGACTACATGCCGAGAATCGCCCAAGTCCATATTTGGCCTGAAGGGGGAAACATCTCTCCAGCAATGATCACACCAGAAGAGTTACTGCAAGAAACCCATTTAATTGGCTAAGGAGTACGGGTTTGGTTTTTTTAAAAAAATCAGATCAGTACATTTCCAATAAGTAATTTCTACTGTGATATATTTTCATATAGGGATGTTGCTTTTTTTCTATTTACAGTGTTAGGTACATAGTGAGCTTTTAACAAATAAATACTTATGGACGGCTCAGTTGGTGAAGATAACCCAGATAACCCAGACTTGCCTGAGGTATAGAAAGTACAAGGTAAAATGGGAGGAGAGGAAATAAGGATTGGTGAATGTGCACGGAAAAGCACTTTCTCTTCTGGTTAATAGCTTGCCTGGGGGGAAAACACATTCGAAAATTTCCAAAAGATCTTTTTCCAAGAGCAAACCATTATTAACAGAATTATTTAAAAAACCAAAAACACGGTAATCTTGACTGTATACCTCTTCCTCCTCATTTCAAAGTCCATCCTCTATAGATGTTAGATAAATGAGTTCCAAGTCTATGCAGGTTTCTACATGTTTGCAGTTTTTACATTTAGACTCATTCCTTTTCAGACGCATCGATTCTAAGTGTCTCTGCCCCTGTTCCCACCCGGCTTCCGCAGAGACTGGCTAAAGCCATCAGAGTCCACCCAGGACTTTAGTGGAGTCCCCCTTAGCTTTGCCGGGCAGCCATGAGCACCGTGAGCAGTGCACTGCGGCCTGGTCTGGGCAGGCCGTCCGGCAGATATGCATGCATTTCGGGGGGTGGGGGCAGCACCTCTGCTGGGGCATGCCTGGCAGCCATCTGTGCACCGCTCAGACCGGGCTCCTCGCTCTGTTTGCCAAGCAGCAGAAGATCAGCACCTTTAATACCAACAGTGACCATGAGCACCCTGATCCCAGGTAGACCCCCTTTCTCTGGAGAGATCAACAGACCCAGGCAGCTTTGGAGAGTGTGGCTAGGAAGAGAGAAGAGCAGACGGTCTGTGGCTGAGGGCTGCCCCCCCACAGACCACCAGCAAGATGTTTCAGCTTCACCCCCAATGACATGGGGCCAGCCAATGGCTACTGGTCTTATACAGGTCCAGGCCCTTCATCTTCCAGGGTCACCTTGCTTCAGTGGGTAAAGCCTCTGCAGGGAGAGGAGGCCGCAAGGTGGCTAAAGCAGGAGCAGCTCAGAGGGAGGCAGCTGTGATCCCACAGACCAACAGGGCCCCCACAGCCAGAAGAAGCTTCCTCCTTATCCAACCAGTAGTAAGCAATGCCACTTTGTCCCACCCCCTGAGCTTACTTCTTGTCATCTGGGAGAGCCCTCAGAATCACTGCCGGCCCCATATCTCAGTCAGGGCCCTGGGCCCTAGATACCCAGCAGGAGGAATGTGAGGGAAAAGGGGCAGGGTCACGTCACCCTCCAAGCCACCTGAAGCCGCAGGTGGGAGAACTCTCCTGAGGAGGGGAGCGAGTGGGTAGCCCCTCCGTCAGGGCCCAACCTCAGGAAAGGAGACACCATGGCAAGTGTGGTATGCCACAAACCCAAATGTCACCGTATTAGGCCCCTCTCTTCCCTGCCCCACAGTGTAGTAAAAGTGAGGGCCCTTGGCTGCGGGATATCTATGGGTCTTAGAAGCAAAGACAGGGTTAGGAACCCCAGGGGGAAGCAGGTGACAAGGTGAGGGGGGGAGGCCTTCATACACAAGGACAGGGAGACAGCATCACAGAGAGATGTAGTGGGCTCAAGAAAGGGCTGTGGGCCCGGCCTATGCCACTCCCCAAACAAAAGGTCTCCAAGCGCAGCCAGGCCCCCCCTGGCCTCACCAAGTGAGCCCGAGGTGAGCACCAGGCAGCACCCAGCTGGGGTCTGACTGGGCCTGATGTAAACGCCAGGGTAGGGTAAGGTCTGGGAGAGCGAGGGGCCATCCCTTTGCTTTGAGGGTGAGGCTGCTGCAGGTGGAGCTCCGGCCCAGAGGGGAGCAGAGAGGTGCCCGGTAGAGTCAGACCTCCCCCTGCTACCCCCTCGCCCACCCAGCGGCTGAGAAAAGACCTGGGAGGCAGGGGAGGCCCCCTCATCACTTCCCACCCCGAGGAACCACGGATGGCACTCCTGGCTGGTTTGCCATGATGTGGTAGATGGATTCTCGGAAGCGCTGGTCCCGGCTGAGCCTCTTGGCCACCTCCTTTAGCTCCTCCATGTTGTTGGCATCCAGCTGGGAGGTCATGAAAGACTGGGACGGCTTCACTGGGGAGAGGGAGGCCGTGAGCAGCCTCCCTCCACGGAGGCTTACCCGGGACCCCAACCCCAGCCCGCCACCCTCGCTCCCCACCCCACAAGCTTCTCGGCACCCACTGGAGCTTCCTGAATCCTGGAAGATGCCCTAGGCCAGGCCGGGGGAGCCAGGTCCAGGCTGCCCAGTCCGGCCTCCAAGCTGGATCAGCACTTCCCACCCTGGCAGGGGCGCGCGGACAGACGCACTCACTGTCATTCCAGGAGGTGCTGGAGCGGCGCCGGTGGAAGCGGCAGCTCTTGATCCGGCGAGTGGCCGCCTTGTGGATGTACACGGAGTTCTTCATGATGACCGGCATCTTGGCCTCCAGCTCCGCATTCCGGATGCACTCCTCGAAGAACCCTGCGGCCGCAGTGCCGCTGCGTCCTTCCCGCCCGGCCCCGCTCCCGCCCGGCCCCGGCCCGGCTCCCGGCTCCCGCTCCGGCCGCAAACACGCGCACCCCGCCCACCCGCCCGGGGAGGGCACGGAACTCCCCGCCGCGCCCCCACCCGGGTGCGAGAGCCCCAGGAAGCCTAGCCCAGGACGCGCCTACGGCAGGAGCCTGGGGAAGAAACTCCCTCGGTAGCTCGGGACCGCCTAATGCGCCCCGGGCCCCGTGCGGCGCTCCCGGCCCGGATCCCGGCTCCGCAGGGTCTGGACTTCCGCGGGGGCTGAGCCCGAGGGCTGGGCCTTACTTTTCAGGTGGCTCACGTCAGCCCGCATCCTCTCCTCCTTCTCTTTGTTCCGCACCTTGGAGTTGAGCCCCTGTTCCAGGCTCCGCAAAGCCCCCTCTGCCTCCCGCAGACGCCTCTCCAGGTCCATGCGGACCTTCACCTCGGCCTGGGGCGGGGAGAGGGAAAACAGACGAAAAGGGGTCCTGGGGAGCAGTTGCCATCTCCCGTGGAAGCCTTCCCTGGTCACACACCCCCCCCCACCCCCCATCAAGAGAGCTTGCTTGCCTCTGGACTTGGATGGAAGTTACCATATCCTGTCTAGGGTAGGCGCCCTTGACCAGATGGCCCAGACTCAGCCTCTGCACCCCAGTAGCGGGTTAGCTGCTCCCCAAGGGGTGGCTCCATCGCCTACCCCTAGCGGGTCATACTGGCAGAGATAATTGAGGTAGCAGTGGGGTAAGGGATGTGAGAGGGAATGTGCAAAACCGGGCAGCTGCCCGCAGGCCCTGGCCAACACCTTGAGCTCCCGCTCGGCCTGCTGCTTCTCTGCGGTCAGCTCCTGCAGCGAGTTCTGCAGGGCCTGTGACTGGGTGGAGTAGAACTCCCGCTCTTCCTCCAGGGCCCGAGAGCGCTCCTCGTTCTCCTTCATCCTGCGGGGCCGAAGGGGTGCTCAGTGCTTCCTCATGGAGGGGGCTTTACAGTGAGAGGGCAGCCCCTCCTGGAGACCTGGCTGAAGAAGTCTGACACCCAGGCTTCCTGAGCCCCAGAACTTTCTAGGTTCTGTCACCCAGGGGATGAGAGGAGTGGTATGGACAGTGAGGGGAAGCCCCTGGCTTAGAGTCAGAAGACCAGAGTCTCGGGTCCTAGTCTTGCTAGTTCTGTGACTTCAGGAAAGTCCTATCAACCCTCCTAGGTTCGGTTTCCTCATTTGTACAAAGGAGCTATGAAGACATCCCCAGCCTGTGACAAAGCACTGTTAGATCATCCTAATGCCTCTCCGTATGGTTCCCACCACTGCAAGAGATAATGATCAAGTCAGCTCTGGGTAGTGAAAATTTTCTTTGACTTTGCCTCATGGGGAAACTGAGTCCTAGGCAAAAGGAAGTAATTGATCTATCTGGTCAATGCCAGCTAGAACTCAAGAATGCGGGTGTGGAGTTCAAGGAACGTTATCACACTGGACTCAGGGCTTGAAGGGCCTCTCACCGCTTCTCAGCCAGGAGCTTCTCTTCCAAGAGCTGCTGCATCTTCTCCTCTATCTGCCTCAGGTTGCTGTGGAGACCCCCACTGGGAGGGGGCTGCTCACTCTGATTGGCCAGTGTCTGCAGCTGGTTCTCATTCTCCTCCAGCATCGCCAGGGTTTTCTTCTTCTCTATGGAGAGTTCCTGGCATGGAGGGAGGGAGGGAAGAAAAAGAGCCTAATCTAGGCTCTCCAACATGGCGGCCCTCATCTGCCCCTCAATTTCAGGGAGTGATGCCGTCCTCACTCAACCTTCTGGAGAGACACCTGAAATATCTTCCTTCTTCCCTGGTGATAAAAGGTCAAGCAAGATCTCCTTAACAAAGAGGCAAGGTTACTCCTCCACCAAGGGACTCGGGGAGGAGCCCAATGCAGCTTCCAGGGAACTTGACACCTGTACAGCCGGGGCCCAAGGGCACCATGACCTTCGGGGGTCTTTGTTCCTCCAAGGGCAAGTGATGGAGTGTGTTGGGCTCATGAAGAATACCCAAGAGGAGTGAGCCCAGAACAGAAGTAGACGTCTTCCCCATTTATCAGGCTGGGGTCTTGCACTACCCAAAAGTTCTGGAGTTGAAACACTCCACGAGAACCATCTATCATGATGTGAAGTGGAAAGATAAACAAATAAAAGAACCAGAAACAAAGCCCCAGTCAGTTGAGAGAAAATAGAAACCTTGCAGCCTTTAAGGCAATTCATGAATTCAGTAAACATTAGCAATGTACCAGGCTCCTGCTAGGTGCTGGGTTTGGAGAGACCTTAAGATACAGTCTAGTGAACTTCACAGTTTGGAAAACACAACCTAGTGTCCCATAACAGATGTACAAAGTGCAGCAGGAGCCTAGAGCTCAGAGCAAACCCTTGCCTGGAAGAGTCAGGGAAGCTAGGGTATGGTGATGCTGGAGTTGAGTCTTAGAAGGATGGATGAGTTCTCCAGGCAGAGAAGAGGTGGAAGGACATTTTGTGTAGAATGAACAGCTTGGGCAAAGGTGTAGAATCTGAAAGAGCTGGGTTTCCCCAGGACACATGAGCTCAGTGGTTTGGAGGAGGGGTCAGAGTGTCTTTGTGCAAGGTGTGGAGGGACAACCAAGGGAAAGTCAAGGAGGAGGAGCTGGGGACAGAGTTGGCATTTGGTCCTTGGTACATGCCACCTCCTTCCTCCCCCTCACAGTTTCTGTGGTATCAAACGGAGGTAATATGACAGTTGATTTCCCTTCATGATCAGTTTCACCCAGGAACAGCTATGTGAATGAGCCACAAGAAGTAATTCTCCATCTGGTATAAAAATATCAACACTGGGGGAGCCTGGGTGGCTCAGTGGGTTAAAGCCTCTGCCTTTGGCTCAGGTCATGATCCCAGGGTCCTGGGATCCAGCCCCGCATTGGGCTCTCTGCTCAGCAGGGAGCCTCTCTCTCTCTGCCTGCCTCTCTGTCTACTTGTGATCTCTGTCTGTCCAATAAATAAAATCTTGAAAAAAAAAGAAAAGAAAAAAAGAAATTTATTTAAAAAATATATATATACGAACACTGAAGAAGGTGGATTTCCCGAAGCCACAGTCACAGCAGGACAATTTTGAATTTGCTCCTCTGGGTCCTGCATTAGGCCTCCTGGGCTCGCTGGTCCACAGATAAGAAATCTTTTAGATCAGCACTCTATCATGCCCCATTCCCTTTGTGGAGAACCCTCTGGGGAAATGCTGCTGGGAAAACAGTGTCATATGGCCCAACCAACCAGCCTGGCTCCAGGCCAACCATCGGACCAGTGGCCCTCACCTCCAGTGTCTGCTGCAGGGACTCTGTGAGGTGCCTCAGCTCCTTCTTCTCTTGCTCCACACCCTTGAGGCATCTTGCGGTCAGCTCAAGCTCCCTGCAGGGACAGAGGGCTGGGTATGGCTGTGCCCACCACCCCTCCCAATCCCCTCTGCACACAGAAATGCTTCTGCTCCATCTCCCGATATGGCTCAGAGGGGTCCTTGGAAGGCCAGTCCCTCTCTGTGTGGCAGGGTCCTAACAGCAGCTGTAGGGACTTGGGGCTGAAAGAAGGAGATGCCAGCCAAGTGGGGTTGAAGTCACGTGCTTCAGGTACACAGGTGTCTGTCAGATGGGATAAACCCAGGACCACCCCGCAGGCAGAGAGAAGCACTGGAGAAACCATGGCAATCCTGGCCCCACCGCCTGTCTTCTGCATATGGACCCTTCTAGAACCCCTACTCACTCTGAATTGGGACATGACTGAGGCCGCTCTCTGGGGTGATAATCGCCTTGTTGCAAGCCTGGGCCCCCTCAGGCATTTACTCCTGGTTTCCCTTCCTCTTGCCCAATTTCTGAAAACCTACCCATCCTTCAAGGTCCAGCTCAATCGAACCTCTCTTTTGCCCACGAGGATCACATGTATACCTTAATTCCGATGACACAGGGAGTCTGCACTGTGCCTCCTAATGGCTGATTATATATTACTGTGTTGACATTTCCTGGGTGGGAGTCTGGTTCTCCCAACCAAATTGTAAGATCCTGCACTGTAAGATAAGAGAACTTATCTTCTATTCCAGTATCTGGCACAATTCTGAAGATAAGCAGGTGCTTGGCTATTTACTTGTTAAGATTCTTGGAGCTTCTCGGAGCTTCTCCCTCCCTGCAGCCATTGTCTAATTGACTTCCTTTTATAAGGTTGTTGCAAGAAAAGCCTTTCTGAGCTAACACCGATTATCAGTAGTGATGAGGAGGAGGAGGGTGGCAACCACCCCCACAACAGAACCCAGAGCATTAGTCTCCAAATCCCTAGATAGTCCGAATCAGAGTGACCTGGAGAGCTTTTGAAAATATAGCTCTCTGGGCCCTACCTTCAAGAGATTCTCATTCTGTTACACGATCGGAATGTGCAACTGGGTGACTGGGTTTGCAAACCATACCCAGGACTAAAGATCCCAAGGGACAGTATTAGCCAGAACAAGAAGAGGGGATGTTGGGGGTCTTGGTTAATAGCACCTCCTGTCTGCCCCTGGGTAAGGAAGGCTTGACAGAGGCTTGACAGAGACAAGAGGGGATTGTTGCTGGAGGGGAGAGAGCGCTGGTCTGCACCTGCCCGTGCCTCACGTCCAGTCTGTGTGGGGTCTACAGCTCCTTCTGGGCTATCCCGAGGCCTGGAGCACTGGTAAGAGAGACTCAAACCAAGCCATCACGTAGTGAGGCTCTGTTGGCCGAGAGCTCCCCAGGCCTGTCGGGAAACATGGGTTCTCACCCTCTGTCCGAGGCGCACCTCCCTCCCACCCCTTCCTGGGCACCACCCCCACCTTCTGATCTGCTCCTGCTCCATTTTCAGCTCCTGCACCACCTCCTCAAACTGCTGCTTCTCGGCTTCCAGCACCTGGTTCAGGCGTTCAAGCTCCTGAGGAGAACCAGAGGGGAAGAGAAGAGTCATGGGCAGCGAAGGACTCCTGAGGTCGGAACTGCCGCTCTGGTCCAGGAGCCCCCTGGGATGAAGTCCAGGCCAGGCTCTATGGGAGCAGACTCGGGGTCAAGTCCCAAGGAGCCTTGGTCCCACTCAGCGACACCCAGTCTCAACAAACCCAAGGTCTATGCGGGGTTTGGCCTTATCAGACACACTGAGCTTGCTGCTGCCAGGGTTTAGAAAGGCTCGCAACGTTGTTTCCTGGGACTGGAGGTGGAGATCATTCTAGACGTCTACTCTGCCAGACAACTCCAGTTGCTAACACCCTCAGGCATGTTGGCCGGCTCTCAAGTGCTAGAGGAAAAAGGGATGAGTGTCGGGGCGCCTGGGTGGCTCAGTGGGTTAAAGCCTCTGCCTTCGGCCCAGGTCATGGTCCCAGGGTCCTGGGATCAAGCCCCACATCGGGCTGTCTGCTCCGCAGGGAGCCTGCTTCCTCTTCTCTCTCTCTCTCTGCCTGCCTCTCTGCCTGCTTGTGATCTCTGTCAAATAAATAAATAAAATCTTAAAAAAAAAAAAAAAAAGGTATGAGTGTCTATTCCCATCAAAGATCCCTAGAGTGCCATCTGTGAAGGGTGGCGAAGAAAAGCCATTTCCCCAAAGTCAGAAAATCAGGGCTCTTTTTTCCTCGGGGCTTCTAGAAAGCAGCCCAGTGGCTGCAACTTTCCCTGTGCTCGGCCCGAAGGGCACGGGAGAGCCAGAAAGTGCCGGGCAGGCCCCCAGGCAGGGCCAGACTCGTGCTGTCAGAAATGCTGGCCAGCACTGTCTTTTTCCAGCAAATATGTGCCCTCCACGGGCCCCGTTTTCCCAGGCCTCACTGGCAGGTGGAATTGCAGGGTGTGCTTGGAGAGAAGCTTAGCTGTTAGCAGTTTTGCGACACCTGCTTTGCTCCTCCACAGTTCACACTGCGGGAAGATAGAATTTTCTGGCACTTCAGATGCCAGCAGACCCTGGTGACACCTCTAAGAACCAGAGAGTGAAACCGATGCTCCTGAAGATAACATGCCCAAACAGTCATCTGGCTTCTCCTACCCCTCCTCCCTGCGTTGGCCCCAGGTCTGTGCGATACATGCTTTTCCCACCTGAGTCCGTAACCATGGGCCCGGCCCACACTGAGTGCTGGACGACAGTCAGAGAAACGGGAACCCATGAATCAGAGCCCTCTACAGTCAAGGGCACTTAAAAGGCGCATTTGTCTTCGTCAGACCCTCGAATCCCTGGATCAGTTTTTCTGCCAAGAGATGGCCCGGGTTCTGCTCGAGTGGCTTTCATGACAGGGAACTTGCCCCTTCAGACAGCCTGTTTCACTCCAGAACAACCTGCTCACAGCTCTTCCTTCCGAGTTCAACCTCAGCATAGGCCCTCTCTGAAAGCTACAAATACAGACGCATTGAGGAAGGGCCCAGAATTTGCCACAAGTTTTGCGGGGTTCAGAGGAGAGGGCTGACTCTTGTTGATGGAGCAAAACTTCCCTCCAGCGCTCCTGTCGCCGCCTCTGTCCTTGGACCACGCTCTCTCCCTTCAGCATCTGCCTCCCTCGCTGGGAACTTGCTGTCCTCAGCTACCATGCCTCAGCCTTGAACCCTGAAGATCCCAGCCAGCAAAGGAAGAGCCGGGGAACAGCGCTTGGCAAAACAGAAGACTGGCAAAGCCAAGGACACAGCCAACTTGTGGACACCCTGAGTCCTCCAAGTACACCTAGGAGAAGGGGCAGCCCATTTCATCCACCTGGGCCATCTGAGCCCAAAGCTGCCTTCTCGTAACTTCCATCGGCAGGTCCAGCTTCTCCCCTCAGATCCATAGAACAAGACTGATCCGTTTTCCCTTCAGGTGTTGGGGATGGCTCTTCTGTCCCCAAGTCTCCTCTCCTCCAAGCCAGATAATCCCTGCCCACCATGCTTCACTGCATTATTTCTAAATCCCCAGTAAAAGTAATTACGCTTTTGAAAAGAATGCAGGCCCCTGATTGGGAAGATTATAGTAAAGGTTCTTCCCAGTTAATTTACAAGCTCAGTGCAGTTTCGTAAAAATCCCAATGAGATTTTTTTTTTAATGGTTTGATTCATTCATGCCACACCTATTTATTGGGTGCTTAATACTGCCAATCTGCCAGGCTCTGCACTGAGGATGTGAGGATAAGCAAAACCAGACATGTCTCAGTTCTCACAGAGCTTCCGGCTCAACGCAAGAATCAGAAACTAATAAAATAAGTACACACGAGAGTATGTTTACAAACCAAGGCCCGTGATGTGCAGGACAGGGACACAGGTCTATGGAAAGCTGCCTTGGACAAGAAGGACAGTATGACTAGTGGGGGGAGCAGAAGGTGGATAAGTAAGAGGGAAAAACATGCCAGGAAGGAGGATCAGTATGTGCAAAGGCCCTTCGGAAACCTCCTGCCCCGAAAGAAACAAGACAGACTCATACAGCTGGGCCCAGAGTGAGGGTGGGTGGGAGGAGTCTAGGCCACACAGGGCCTTGGGCTATGCTGGGGATTTGGGTCTTTTTTCCTGAGCAAGAGCAAGGTTTTGGGCAAGGAGTAGGCGAAGAAGGCGGGCAACAGAATCTGACTTTCATTGTGAACTGTGACTTTGGCTGCAGCATGGAGAAAAGGGATGAAGAGGGGCCTGGAGGGATACAAGGAACCCAGGTGGGAGGCCACTGCCTTAGTCCAGCAAGACCTGGTAATGTGAGCCAGAACAGGGCAGTGAAATGTAGAGAAGTGGCCAGGCGGGTTCAAGAGCTTGTGAGGGCGGGGCGCCTGGGTGGCTCAGTGGGTTAAGCCTCTGCCTTCGGCTCACGTCCTGATCTCAGGGTCCTGGGATCGAGCCCCGCGTCGGGCTCTCTGCTCAGCACTGAGCCTGCTTCCTCCTCTCTCTGCCTGCCTCTCTGCCTACTTGTGATCTCTCTCTCTCTCTGTCAAATAAATAAAATCTTTAAAAAAAAAAAAAAAAAAGAGCTTGTGAGGGCAATGCTATCAGATCTTGGGAGAGGCATGACACCCGGGTTTCCAGTCTGCACCAACAATGGATGGTGGTGAATTCCTTGAGATAGGGAGCTCTCGAGGACCACCAGCTCTGCTGGGGCAGATCATGAGTGCCCTTGGACATGCTGAGTTTGCAGTACTTTTCAGACATCTGGCTGGAGATTTGACATCAACAGTTGGAAATTAAGGGGCTGGAGCTCAGCAAAGAAAAGGGACTGCACCTGTCAATGGGGAGTCATTTGCACGCACACAGGGAAATGAAGCCAGAGGTGTGGTCTCGACTGACTTTGGATGTAGTGCAGAGAGAAGAGAGGGTATGGGAGCTACTCTTAGAGATGGGCAGTACTACCTTGTAGGGTTAATGGGAAGATCACATGAGTTAATCTATGCAAATTGTCTGCAACATAGTCAGTGCTTAATAAAGGATAGATGGTATTATAAACCAAAACTGAGTGGTATCTGTTCACAGATAGACAGCAATTCAAAGGAACAGAAAAGGGAATTCTGAAACAGGTCTCGTATGCGATAATAATGACAATGATGGATCATATTCTCTGTGAGCTTACTGTTCTGAGTACTTTACACGTATTAACTCAGTTAATCCTCATAACAGCTCTGAAAGTGGATAATATTTTTATCCTCATCTTACAGATGAGAAAAGCGGAGGTACCTAAAGGTCAAGGAAACTTGTTCCCTTTTCCCCACACCGTAGCTAGTCAATGATGAAGGAAGGACTCAAACGCGGGTAGCAGCGTAGAGCAAGAAGGAAATGGTTACACACTGCTGGGGAGAGTGAAAGCTGGTACAAATTTTCTGGAAAGCAATTTGTCAATATGCATCAGGAGTCTTAAAATTTCTTGCTCAGACTCAATGATTTCCCCCATTGGAATCTCTCCTAAACAATTAGACAGCAGACCAAGAGTTAAGTGTACAGAGATGTCTGCTGTGCCATAATTTAAAATAGTGAAAACAGTCTGGGGCACCTGGGTGGCTCAGTGGGTTAAGCCTCTGCCTTCGCCTCAGGTCATGGTCTCAAGGTCCTGGGATCGAGTCCAGAGTCCGGCTCTCTGCTCAGCGGGGAGCCTGCTTCTCCCCACCTCTCTGCCTGCCTCTCTGCCTACTTGTGATCTCTCTCTCTCTCTCTCTCTCTGTCAAATAAATAAATAAATAAATAAATAAAATCTTAAAAAAAATAGTGAAAACAGTCTAGGTATCCAAAGATAGAAGAGTAGTTAAATGGAACATCACATCAGATGAATCGGTACGTGGTCATTAAGAATGGAGTTTTCGAGGAATGTTGAATGACATGAAAACTTGCCAAAGGTACAATGTTAATGAAGGTATCATGAAAAAGCGGGCTATAAAACCGAATATTTGGACACCTGGGTGGCTCAGTTGGTTAAACAACTGCCTTTGGCTCAGGTCATGATCCTAATATCCCGGTATCGAGTCCCGCCTCGGGCTCCCAGCTCCATGGGAAGTCTGCTTCTCCCTCTGACCTTCTTCCCTCTCATGCTCTCTCTCTCACTCTCTCTCTCAAATAAATAAATAAAATCTTTAAAAAATAAATAAATAAAACTGAATATCCTATTATGTTGAAAATATGTATCAGAATAATATATATGTAAAAATATATATAATATATATATTTATATATATAAATATATATATATTTAAATATTTTATCTATTTAGAGAGAGAGAGAGAGCACAAGCAGGTGGAGGGGCACAGGCAGAGAGAGGGAGAGAATGTCAGCTAGACTCCATGCTGTGTGTGAAGCCCACTGCAGAACTCGATCTCACAACTCTGAGCTGAAACTAAGAGTCCGGATGCTTCACTGACTAAGCCGCCCAGGCGCCCCTACAATAGTATGTATTTTTAAAGACTGAAGAAAAATACCAAAATGTTGGCAGCCGTTGTCCGTTGACTGTGGGACCGAGGATCACATTTGTTTTCTGGCTGTTCTGCAGAGAGCATGATTTCTACTGTTAACAAGAAGGTTACGGACTAATGAGGACAAAGAAACAGAAACCTCTTCCCAGTCGCTCACTTCTTTTCCACCTTTCACTTCACCTGTGTGAGTCTTAACTAAAACTGATACCCGGGTATAGCCTGAGAAGCCTGGATGACAACAGAATCCATAAACCCGGAGCATCCAGAACCTTCTGTTCCTACAGCCAAGAGGGTCTGAGCACTTGGAGCAACCCTGCCACAGGCTGAGGTCAGCCAAGACCTACCTGCAGCAGCTGAAGCCTGTCTACGCCGTCTAGGGCTTGTTCCTCTGACCCCCGCGCCTGACCTAAGGTGCAGGAGCTCAGGGTTGGAGAGAAGTCACCCGAAGGCAAATTCCAGCTCAAGGGAAGGAAGAGCTTTCAAACAACAGAGCAATAAGGCAGAGAATAGCTCCAGAGCTTGTGAGTTACCCACGACAGAATCAGGATATCATCCATCAGGGAGGTGAGCAGAGAGCCTCACCCTGAAGTGGAAGGTTCTTTCCAACACCCAGAGTCTGTTCTGACCAGGAGCAGCCTGGGTGGCAAGATGCCTGCCTAACGGGCCCTGGGCATTTCTAACTTCCCGTGCACCTGCTCACAGGCAAGGCCGAGCTCTCAGAGTTCAGCCAGAAAAGGAAAGGCAGACAGCCTGCCCTGCTCCAGGGGATGAGAGAGATGAGGTCACAGGGAGCCAGGGACATTGGAGGGACCTGCACCCAGGGAAGGGCATGGCCTCCTGCCCCCAGGGCAGATGAGCCCCGGGGGGGGGGGTCCACCTACACTGTCTGCTCACATGTCTAGAGTCCCAGGGTCTTCCTTCCTGATGGAGGATCGTGTGGCCCCACCACACACGGCACACACCTGCGAGGGCCTTGGGTGTCCCTGATGCACTCTGTAACTTCTAGTCACTGAGACTCACGGCAACCCAGGAGCTGGGCAGGCACAGTCGTTAACTCTTATCAGAGCATCACAGATGAAGAAACTGAGGCCCCCAAGGCCACGCAGTCAGTGATGGAGCTGAGACTCCAATCTGAGTCTCCTGGCCCTGGACCTTTTCCTTCTGCCCGCCCACAGCCACCTTCGCTGTGGGAATCGGCTGGGCCGGAGGGAGTCACATTTATATCTTGGGCCACAAAACCAGGGAGTTCACAGCTGTCAGGCCTCATTCCTTCAACGTGCTATGGCTTTAAGTGAGGCCGGCGTGCTGTGGGTCTCCGCTGTCCTCATTTCCTGCCTAAAGACCTAGATAGAGTGTCTAAATTTTCCTCCGGCTGACTGCTGCCCCAGATTTAGCCTCTCTGATGGATAAGTGTCTCTCTCCCTGCCGGTGGCTGTGTCTGTCATTCCATCCCTTCCTCTGGCTTACTCAATTACCTGTCTCTAGGTTGCCGACAATGCACCGGAAGTCCCGCTTCTCAAAGTGACAGAACTGTGTGAAGAAAATGCCAAGAGTCTCACACAGGACCTGGATGACAGCAGGGACACAGGGAGACCCACACACCCGCCGGGTGGGAGAAGGCTCAGCGCTGTCACGAGGCCAATCCTCAAATCCATGCAATCCTAATACAAATCCCCACTGGCTTTGGGGTTTTGCTTTGTGTTTGGTTTGGTTTGGTTTTTTTTCTGTTGCTGTGCATTGACAAAGTGAGTGTCAACTCCAGCTGGAAGGATGAGTGGGCAAGAATATCAGATACCATTTTGGGGAAGGAGAGAAATGAGGATGAATCGTCCCAGTGGATGAAAATCAAGATGTAATGTGAAATTATAAGAATCAAAAACGCTCACTCATTGAGTCATCCTGCATTTATCAAGCTCTTATCCCTGGCCAGCTGTGGTCTGGGCCCAGGGAATATTCAGGCTGCTCCAGGGAGGTGACGCGTCCTGACTGTAGGGTCTGCCTCAGAGCCCAGGGAGGGGTGGTCGGGAAAGATGCTTGGGGAGAGGAAAGTCACAGAGGCAGGCACTGAGCCGGGGCTGACAGGCCCGGCCCCAAGAGGACAAGGAAAATCAAGGGGACAAAGAGCAGTGGGCTGAATCGAGCTCCCCCTGTGGGCAGGCCACTCTGCAGCCTCAGGCCTCGGGCAGCTCACATGCAGGATGGGCCCCTAGTTAATAATAATCTGAGCGTGATACTGACAAACATAGGTATTCACTCAGCCCTATGTGCCAAGTATTTTATATGTAACATCTCACTTAATCTTCACAGCATCCTGAGAAGATGGGTTCCATGATCTCCATTTTTCATGTAAGAATATGGACGTTCAGAGAGGGTAGGTAACTTGTCCAAGGTTGCACAGCTAGAAGCGGTAAAGATCAAACACAGACCTAGGCAGCCTCGCTCCAAGTCTGTATTGCTAAACACTCCCCGTCTCTGAACTTCAGGCGTGCTGATGGCCCTTCGGGACAGGCAAGGCCTAAGGCTGCATGGAGATTCTAAATGAAGGGGACTTCAGTGGCTCCCTGTCCTCAATGAGGTCAGGGTCTCCCTTTCTCTACAGGCTGCCCCAGGCTAATGTCCCATTAGCTTGGCTTTTTTGGTACTTCATTGTGTCACTTAGAGAAGGAAGGAACCCCTGAAATCATCCAATGCAATCACCCCGATATGCAGAAGCCCCTCTCCAGATCACAGAGGCCATGCCAGCCTCCCGCAAAGATCACCAGTGACAAGCAGCTCGTTACCTACTGACATAGCTCATACAATTTGGGGATGACTCTCTCTAGAAAGTGGTCACCTACACTTTTCATTTTTGTCCCTGGGCACTGGCAAGAAGAAATACACTGCTGACAAGAAGCCCGAGCCAGCCCCAAGCACTGTCACCCCATGGCCTCTCTGCTCCACCTGGCTGACTTTCCATCGAGTTCTCTGGGGGCCTTGCTCCCCGGCATGATTCCCAAATGCCAGAAACACAGGCCAGTCTGCGAAGGGGCCACCAGAGTGGGACATGCTGGGGAGGGGCAGCCGTGCCGAGCAGCCCAGCGCACCTACCTCTCTCTGCTCCCTCTGAAGGCAGAGTTCTTCCGTCTCCTCCATCAGCTTGTCTGCAAAACAAGCACGCACCCTCTCACAGAAAGCTCACTGCAGCTCCGGAGAGGAAGGGGCCGGTGCCTTCCAGGAACCTCCTTCACTCCCAGGATCTCCCAGGGAAACAGTCCGTCCTGCCATGCCCAGGCCGGCCAGAGAGCCGAGCCAGCTCCTGGGGCTGGAAGCCACCATGCTGGCCTCAGCTGCCACCCTCCTTTCCACTCACTGTCCCTGTTTACGCATTCACAAGGCAAGGATGGCCTCATCTTCAGAAGCTCAGGTGGTGTCTGTACCCCCCTAGAAGTGCTGTTAATTGTGCTGCTCCTCAGATCACCACCCCTCTGCACTAGTGTCTGGCGGTGGGGGAGGGCAGGTCCTGGGAGGACAGGGATGTCTAAGGAACCAGTGCTGAGGCCCCAAGTGTCTAAGGAGGTGGCAGAGGAGAGGATCCCAGGTAAAGGATCAAACCCCCAGTCTCACCTTCTTTCCCAAACAGAACATGTTGGCCAGCCAGTCACCAGCACAAGGTCAGGTTTAAAGTGAGCTGGCAGGTAGGAGGGATTAGGGGCAAATCTGGGACCTGGGGACCCACGGCAGGATAACATCAACTCCAATTATGGAGCCCATACCGTGTGGGCAAGAAATAAGAACTTTCAGGCATGTTCTCATTTGCCCTGGCCCTCCGCCACCTCTGAAACCTAGGGACTATTCTTGTCTCCATTTTAAGGATGAGGACATTGAGGCTTATGGGGGCTACACTTCGTGGGGACACACAGCTGACAGAGGAGGGGCAAAGCTGTGGCCAGAGCTCAGGCTCCTGACCACCAGGTCCTCCTGTCCCCTGTCATGCTGGCCAAAAGGACACAGGTTACAAGGTCAAAGCCTCTAGGCTTCCGGCTGGTCTGTGGCTCCCTATAGCTCGCTAAGCCCTACCCCCAGCTCCACTGCCAAGCCCCGGCTCTAATCCCTGGCCCCAAAGTTCTTGCTACCTAGGGAGCCTCAGCTTCCAGTCCATCCCTCTAGCCAACCTAAATACTCCTGCTTCTCCTTGGCCAACTGCAGCCCCTGGGCCTCCAGGCTTTTGATCATGGCTTCTCCCAGCTGGGCATTCTTCCAAGTCCTGGGGAGGGAGGGCAGATGGGACAGAGAAGAGAAGAAACACAAAATCGTCACAACGGAAGGCTGGCAGAGAAGGAGACTGGGCATGGTTTGCGCTCGCCCATCCCGTCTTCTCCAGAATCCCAGCCCCATTCACTCCGGCACCCATGGTTCTGGGCACGCCACCAGCATCGATCGGTTACCGTCCCTGGAGGCTGGCCCAGGCTGCGAAGTGGGCTACCGTGGACAGGGCCAGCAGCACTTGCGGAGCAGGGAAGAGATTGCTTCCCAGGCTCCTTCCACACCCTTGCACGCCACCCCCGGGCACAGGGCCTGGTGTGGGGCTCGCTCGGTGTTATTTGTTGAACTGAAAGCATGACCTGGCGTGAACAGGCAGGTGCCAGGACAGGGGTTTATGTATAAACAGATCGTGCTAGGCTGGAGATTTCTATGATCTGGACTCTGGTTTACAAAGCACCAGTGTCAGGCTGTGCCAGGATTCACTGTGGGCTTGGGGAAGTGAGATGGGCGTCGGGAGGCAGCCAAATCCCCCGAGCGATGCTGGATTTGCTCCCAGGAGTTCAGGACAAGTGCTGTCCACGTCTGCCACCTGTGACTCCAGACAGGCCAAGCTCACTGTGCTCAAAGCCCACTTAGCAGATCCCCCCGCAGATGCTCTAAACCTGGCCTGGCCTTTCTTCCCCACCCTAACCAGCATCCACAGCTCTGTTTCCAAGGAGGCCCAGCCATTTTTCTCCCTACCCTGTCCTTTCCTGGGGTCTCAGTACCCACCCAAGATCCCAGTGGAGAGGCAAGGAGATCAGGGTGGACCCAGCCCATAACCATTCCCTTTCGGGACCTGTCCCCCTGCCTATGAGCACTTACACCTTCCCGGACTCCTGTAGCATCTCCAGCCACTGGGTCTGCTCAAACTCGGACTCAGCAGCCAGCAAGATGTTGCCCTGCCAGGAAGAGGAGCCACAGATGTCCCTGAGGGGAGGCCACTCCTGGGACGTCAGAGACCGCCCACAAGGCCCCAAGGGCCCAGCTCTGCTCCTCCATCACACATCCCTAGGACATGGACACCCTCCCAGGCCAGGCCACTGGACATGCTGCCCCTAGGGAGTCTGGAGGTCCTTGGAGAGGCTGGTCTGCCCTGCTAAGTCCATGTGAAGGGGAGAGTTTACTTACATGGAAGTCCTGGTGGGAGATTTTCATGGCATAGGGCATGCTGGGTTCCTCCTTGGCCTCCACCAGGCAGCCTCCTAGGGGGATGACGCCCTGGGAAAGAACCAGAATAGGTAGCCCCCACCCCGCCCAGGTCACTCAAGGCCTCTGGGAGCCCTCAGCCAAAGCCAGGTCCTGCCCAGCACCCCAGGCTGGGAGCCAGACTGACTCCCAAAAGGAAGAGGAAGGGCTGGGGCAGGCTCTGGAGCACAGGAGGGTGGGGGCCAGCCCAGGAGAAGCAGGGAGTCTTGTGCCCCAGGAAGGATTTGTTCTCCAGACTCTCTGCTAGACCAGAGCAAGAAGAGAGAGGGTCTTCTACCCTTACAGGATATGCTCCCCCATTGTCCCCATGAGACCCTCCCCCCACCCCGGGTGGCCCTGGGGGGAGAATGCCTCACCTTAGGATGTATATTGAAGTATTTATTGCTTTCAAAGTTCTTTTTCTCGCTTTCAGAGTAGTAAAGAAGAAAGCTCTCTTTGATGATGAAAAACCTAGAGTGGGTGGTAGGGAAGAAGAGGCAACCAGGAGGGAAGGCATGAGGTTTCTTGGGACAGTAAGAAGGCCTCGGAGGTCCTGCCACCCTGGGGACACCAGCTCAGACTCATCACCAACTCACGTTCCCCATCTGGGCCAAGGCCTCAGCTGGCCAGTCACCCACCGCCAGAACGGCCTGGCCCTCGCCCCAGTGGGAAGTGGAAGTGGGACGCCCACAACGGGCCTCCATGTTTGGCTACCTCCCTCCTGCCACACTGGCACCCTTGGCACAGGAGGGCACCTGTAGTCCTTCCCCTCCGGTATTTTCAACCCCTTGAGCCATAGCTCTAGTCGCTTAGGGTCTCCCCCAAGAGAGGGGGGAGGAGGGAAAGAAGAAAGCTTTCCCAGCATTTCTGCCTCTCAGCCTCTCTGTTCTAGGAAACACAGAGCTTTGGGAGGCCTCCCTCCTTACTAACAGATTGTGTAAGATCCCAAGATGCGTCTTCTGACAAGTAATCATGAAACTGGCGATGGCATGGAATGTGGGTATGAAGGCCCACCAGCCATATGACCTTTCCTGAGGCCGCAACTGCAGGGAGAGGGTCCCTGGGGCACCCACAGCCGCCACCTCACCTCTCCCAGGAAAGAGAAGCTCAGCTTTGTCGTGTGGTGTGAGCCCATCACCAATCCTAGTTCTTTATTTATACCGACCCTCTTGGCCCAGCCAAACACCGAATGGAGCTATGGACATCCTGCCAGTGCTCTCCTCCCCCAGGCCTCTCTGCCCCTGATGGAGAAAGGACACCAATACCACCTTCTGCCCAGATGCAGGGACAGTCTGGGCCCTCCAGCACCTGACCCCTGTGGGTTTCCCGCCACTTCTGCCCTTCAGCCTCTCTGTCCAAGCCAACACTGACCTTGACCTCACCACCCCGCACCTCACTACATTTTGTACAGTCCTGCGAAGGAGATTGTGCCATCCTCCCCGGAAAGCCCTGCCTATTGCTTTTCATCTGGCTTCCCCCTTCCTTGGGAACTTGCCCAGCCCACAGTGCCATCCCAGCTCCTCCTGCCCCTTGCTGACTGGGCCGTGCGCTGGGCCCTTAGCGCCCGTATGCGCAGGTGTTCATCTTGTCCTGAGGGGATGCTGGGCTCCTGAGGGGCAGGGGCATGCCCTCTCTGATCCACAGGCCAAGGGAGAGGCCCCCTGCCGGTTTCCGAGAAACTTCACAGGGTAGTTAAGAACACAGGCTTTGGCACCAGACAGACCTGGCATGTCACAGCTGGGGGACCCTGGGCGAGTTAGCTCACTTCTCTGAGCATCAGTTTATTTACCTGTGGAATGGGGATGATAACACCTACCCCAGAAGAGCTGGAACAGTTTAAGTGGCTATTTGCCCATCTCCGGTGTTTTGTTACGGCAGCCTAACAAAGACAAATAGCTCTTTCCTTCCTGACACTTCCGGAGTCCCCTCCCCACCGAGGGTACAGCGCTGTGCCAGGGACGTAGCTGGGGAGGAGGGACAACAGGTGGATGGTCACTGGCCACAATGAGCAGGGAGACAACAGGGGCTCTGGCGTCGAACAGCCCCCATCCCTCAAGCCACGATCTCAGGCGAGCTCTCAGCTTTGCTCAGCCTCCCTTTCAAAGCTTCTCTATAACATGAGGGGTGCAAATATTTGTCTCTCGGGGCTGCTGTGAAAACTCATTGCTGAGCTCCCGTTGTGTGCCAGGCACTGTACTCGGTGCTAGAAAGCGAACTGTGGGCAAGAGAGACACATAGAGCTTACAGTTGAGTATGTGTGCATGGGAAGGCAGACGGTAAGTAAGCAAGAGAGAAAGTCCACGTACCAGATACCAACAAATGCTCAGGGGGGGGAATAAAGTGGGATAAATAACGGGGTGAGTGGTGGGTGGGGATTTCGATATTAAACACAGTGCTCAGGGAGAGCCTGATCGTGAAGGTGCTCCTTCATGATTGAGAAGATGCTCCCGACAGAGAAACCCCAGGTGCAAAGGCCCTGAGAAGCGAGTGGGGCTCTGGAAGGAACCTTGAGGCTCACAGCATGGCTGTAGCAAGACCCGATAACAGGGCCCATGAAGGGTCTACACACCATGCACACCAAGGCCAGCCTCGCGTCAGCTCTGCTCAGCTTGGTTTGGGTGGGCGTGAAGGTCAAGGGAGAGGAGCCAGCATGAACCTGGAGGACAGCGACTCCACAGTGGGCAGGGGTGAGTATCGCCCAACAAAGGGTGCATTCGGCCAGTACACTTCCAGGTCCCAGGAGCCACCTTCATTCATAAACCTGTCTCAGTGACAGCCCTTGCTCCCACTGATGACGCCCAGCTTCCTCTCAGCAGGTGAGAGCCCAGAACCTGAGTGGCCCGGCACAGAAGGACACTTCTTCTTCCTGTCCCTTTCTTCAAATTTCCCTTGCTCCCAGACACTCTCATTCTGACTGTGAGCCAGAGGCATCTCCTTCTGTGCCCCGTGGAGTTGGCGGACTATGCCAGGGCCGAGACGACCCCCATTATTTAGCCGTTCTCGTGTGCTGGCTCCCCTGCTTAGTGTTCTGAGTGTGCCTGAGTGTTTGATCGAGGTCACAATCCTGGAAGACGGGACTTTTGTTCCCATTTGACAGATGAGGAAACTGAGGACCACAGCAGAAATAATGTGGGCAAAGTCACCCAGCTTGGGCAGAGATGGGGCTGGGACAGGAGCCTGCAGACCACAGTCCCTGCTCCTACTTCCCACACCGCCCCTCGTGCGGAGCCGCTTCTGCTCATGCCAGTACCGGGCAGGAAACCACCAGCCGGAGGCAAGAGGTGCTGAGGCTGGGGAGCCCCGGGTCAGAGCTCTGTCACGTACCAGCTGTGTGGCCAGGGCAAGTCACCTGGTCTCTCCAGGCCTCAGGTCTAAGTGTGACCGAGGACAATAATAGCACCTACATCTCTGAGGGTTTTGGGGATAAGTAAATGAGCTTGTTCACATAAAGCCGTAGTGTATTGTGACACATGATAAATATTCAATAAATGCTTAGTTTTATTGTGGATGTTATGATTTATTGTGGTTATAATAAATATGATTATAATATTATTTATTATTATTTATATTTTAGGGTCTGTGGCAGGCTGCCCCGGCCTCTGCTCCCATCTCCCCTGACACCCCACTGGCTCCTACGGGCAGCAGCCCTCGGCTCCTCCAGCCCAGCTGGCCAGCCCCTGTCCTCCAAGCACCGAGCTTCTCCCTGCATCTCAGTTCCCTCCTGTCCAAGGCCCACCCTCCATCCAGGAACAACTTCAGGCCTGACCGGAGCTCTGTCTGCAGTCCCAGGCCTCTCCCTGGCAGCCCCGCTAGTGAGCCCCACTCCACCGGGGTGCAGCCCAGAGCGTGTAAGTGAGGGGAAGGGTCTGGTCAAGGCCACGGCCTCCTCTCTCAGGCCCAAAGGATGGTATTTGCATGTCCAGCTAAATGAGCATTTGCAAGGTGCCAGGACGCTCACTTTGGCAAGTATTTCACTGGCATTATCTTTTTCTATCTCTCACAGCGACTCTAAGAGATGGAGGTATTTGTGCTTTTGGATGCTGGTGACTTAGTGGAGGCACAGGGAGATCAAGCAGCAAGGGAGGGGCAGACTGGGAAGTCGGCTCCATCCGCTAACACAGCTGATGTTCTGGACTGTTGTGCTCTGGGATGGCCGGTCCTCATGGCTCAGCCTGACCCTCCCGATCCCTCCTGCCTGCAGTGGCTGTTTTCCTAGAACTCATCTCGGCGGACGGATGGCAAGCTCCCGGTCAGCTCAGGTCAGGAGGCATTAATGAATCACCGGGTACAGCCAAGTCCTCAGTGAGCCTCTGGGGCTTTCTGACTCCCTGCCCTCGAGGAGCTGAGAGTCGAATACAGGAGAGACCGGGTAGAAATCAATCCTTTAAAAAAACAGCCCATGCTTATCGAGCTTCTCCTTTGCACCAGGCGCTGTTCTGGTAACATCATTATGTGTGTTAACTTATTCGTTCCTCACATGAGTGAGGCAAGGTAATGAGCGCAGAGAAGTTAAGTCATATGCCCTAGGTCACACAGCTGGTAAGTGAGGGAGCTGGGATGATTATAAGGCACCGGGGGGCACTGCAACGTGGCCAAGCACCAGCACACCCTGGGACACTGTAAAGCACGCAGATACACGCTGACGTTGCCAGTTCGTATGAGGTACAAGAAGAGTATAGACCAGAGAGGAGTGATGGTTTAGGTGTCCAGTGAAGAGAATTCTCAGAGGAGGTGACAACCGAGCAGGGTTTTGAAGGCTGGATAGGAGTATCTCAGGACTCTGGGAGGAAGGCAAAGGGAGAAATGCATTCCAGACAGAAGGAACAGCACATGTAAAGAATCATGTGTTCAAGGTCAACAAAACATGTCTGGTATTACTGGCAGATGAATAGAAAAGGGGTAGGCTGGGGTGTGGGGGAGGGACAGTAGGGGGTGAGTGAAGGTCAAAGAGAGAAGCAGGGACCAGAGCAGGGTGGGGCTGCTTCTTGCTGATGAGGGCAGCTGCCGGCTTAGGTGACAGGGTGGACACCAGTGCCATCCAGTACAAACAAGGGAATCTGGGAGGGATTTCCTAAGCTTTGTCTCCACCTTTTACTCCCCTCCTCAGTGCTCTGAACACAACGAGGGCTCAGCCAGAGCCTCATGGTCAACACTGGCCTCATGGTCAATCCAGTTGGAAGTGAGAGGACAGGCAGTACACTTAGACCCAAGGGTATCTTCAAAGTTGGGCAGGTCCTGTTTAAGAAAGGGATCCACTCTGCTGAGCTCCTTACTCTTTGGAAAGGCAAAAGTCAAGTTTGGGAGTCAGGGCCGGAAAGGGCCTTGGAGCACAGAGCGAGAGCGAGAGCAAGTTGGAGCCAGGGGAAATCCTGGAGGGCGGTGGGGAGGAGGGTTGATGGGGGAGTGCAGAGGAGAGAGGACCCAGGGCAGATGTGAGAGTCTGGGTCCTACAGTGTCAAGAGACAGTGGTG